CCTGGTGTTTCGTTTATTTTTTGAGCATTATAATTTTTAGGACACTTTATATAAAAAAAAATCCTTTTTGCACATCATTATAACTCGGCATTGCGAAAGTTTTCATATTCTGACGAATTATTATTGGACTCAATAAGTGTGAAGCTTCTAGCGAAATGCAAAAACACTATATTCTCATTAGATAAATAAATTTGCATGAAGAATGAGAATGAAAATAATAAGCCCCATTGTCAAATTTTTCATAAGAGCGTTTTTGATGAAACGCTTTACACGCTGAAAAGATTTTTGTACATTGTATTACTATATAATTGACATACCGGAAACTTTTAAAATATCTATTTGAAAACAATACTAATAATAAGTTTTAAGCAAAAAAAAAACAGCTCTTGAAAAAGTGCGGCTTACTCTTTACAGCCTCAATAGCCCAAGCTATTTAATATAATCTCAATCAAACTTTTGTTTTAACTCAATTAAATACTAATTTACAAACCTTGACAACACTCAGTGTTCTTACAAGGATTTTTTTAAATATGCAAGGTGATTAGTACGCAACACCCCGAGTATCGCTAGTTTATTTTTATATTGTAAATTATAGAACTTAAGTTTTCAAAATGCATCTCTTATAGCAGTTTTAAAAAAAGTATCCCGCTTTGTCATCTCATATTTGCGTTGTGATTGCTATAAATGAATTTCAAACAGGATAATTTTTTAATTTTTGATTTTTATACGAGAAATGTTTTGATCTTGAATAATAATCAAAGATTGCAATTTATTAGATTGCAATTAATTTTAGTGCAATTTACTTATTAATTTTGAATTTCCTTTTTGTTTATTTTTCACCTTCAATGACGGCATATGAATATAGAATCTGATATTTGGTAAAATTAAAGAAAAAATAAAATAAAATAAAATAAATAAATAAATAAAATAAAAAATCTTACAAGTACATCAAGTTTCGATTAATTTAAAATCATTCACTTCATTTCTGATTTATTTTACTAGTTGTAATATGTCAAAGTCGTATTTTTCATGAATTAAATTGTTATTTAAGCATAACTTCGAAAAATCAAGATATCGATATACACAATTAAAAAATATTAAAAAAAATCTGAAATTTTCAATAGAAATGCAACTATTTTTCCAAACTAATATAAGTACTTTCAAAATGTATTTTATAAAAAATTAGTACACGTGTAAACGAATAGAAATGCTGATAAAGTATAAATGGTATACAAATATATTTTTTACGTAAAATATTTCAAGTAACGCAAACATTCAAAAAATTTTACTTACACTGCTATAATCATCATGCAAGATTTCAAATTTATTCACAAATAATAATAAAAAATAAAAATATTTGATCAGAATCCTATACACTGATTCTGGAGTAATCGTTTATAACATGCTTATTTGTTTGGTTTACTTTTTCATCTCAATACGTTTCCAACTGCCTATTTCAGCGAAAATGCTTTTATTCCATATACTTCGGGAGAAGCCTCCCTTGCCTAGCGGTATCACCCACCAAACGCTATGTGAAGCGTTGAGGTAGTTGGTTCGAATCCGGCCGTAACCATGGATGCATTCTTCGTGATGTCCTTCTCTGAATTGTTCTATCTGTCCTTCATCTTGACAAATGTTTATAAGCCTAAATTGAACCTGTAAATGTGTGTAATTTCAGTAAAGCAATAAACTTGAGGCGAGGTTGCCACCTTGGTCAACACGGTTCCCATCAGATCACCGAAGTCAAGCATCACTGGTTGCGGTCAGTGTGCGGGTGGGTGACCACTTGGATCAGTCTGCGTAGGGACCGAGGGTGTGCGGTATTGGTCCTCGTTAAACTGTGCTACCGTAAAGTGCTCGACTTCGCGTGCAGGTCGTCGGGCTACCGAAGCGNGATATGTTACATAAGAGCAATATATTATAGAGGTAATTTATTGTGTTTTTGTATGTGAGAGATAATTGTGGCGCTAAATTGTTGATTTTTCTTTTTTCCAAGATTAAGTCTTTTTGTCTTAAAAGAAATCCTCGTTTCAATACAAAGCATTGAAATTTTATTACAAAAAGTATAAGTTGAATTGCTTTTTAGTTTATATATTTTTTTTTTGGAAACTCCTATAGTCTAAAACGTGAAGGTATCGGGTTTGTTTCCAATCATAACTTTACATGCATTTCTTGTGATATGCTAATATAATTCTAATTTGCGCTTTTTTTCTTCTTTAATTTGACATAGACTTACAATCAGCTCCTTGTATTGTAAATACAAGCATCACTGCTGATATTAATCTTTGACTGAAACTGTGGTTAGTTGGAAGAATTATTGTTTCCAATCATAACTTTACATGTATTTCTTGTGATATGCTAATATAATTCTAATTTGTGCTTTTTTTCTTCTTTAATTTGACATAGACTTACAATCAGCTCCTTGTATTGTAAATACAAGCATCACTGCTGATATTAATCTATGACTGAAACTGTGGTTAGTTGGATGAATTATTGTTTCCAGTTACACAAACGCTGGATGGGGCATTACAACGCCAAACACAAACATCTCTACATTTTCAACGTAAAGAAATTAAACGGTATTGTATGCATCAAAAAATGGCAAAATATAAGGAGGAACACAAGACGCCTTCCTCGTCTAACGAAATTAAATCCTTAAGGGTGTTTCTGACTGAGATTCTTATCAATATACTGAATTCAAAATTGTCTATTTAGTATCTTTGCAAATTGGCCACATAATAAAATTTCAAATAAGACTCCTTATAGGTTTATTATCCATTAGAGTCTAGATGACAATAGCTTAAAAGCTTCCAAACAAGAGATCACTGGATCATGACCCAAAATTGCTAGTTATTGCACGATCAATAACTACAAAGATTTTTTATTTTATTATTTTTCTAGCGCTACGTAGGCACGCTTGTGTGCTTATTAAAATACGGCTCTTGTCAAGCTAAGGAGAATATAGCTCAGCTGAGAGAAAGACATTACAAAGATGCATATGGTGGGGATACGAACCGCTACCTTTACGCTACAAAGCGTTTGGCAAAACAGCGAGATCACACAGCTGAGGAGACCTTTTAATTTGGACTAGCACATTCACAAAGGAATAAAAAATTTACTTCTCGAGAAATCACATCAACTTATATGTATGATATGTAAATAAAATTCATTTTTAACCATTGCATATGCATTTAAATTACGTTTTGAGCTGTTTCTCCTCAAACAACTAAATTTTTAAATTTTGGATTTTTCATTTCTTCCATTTTTTAGTAGTATTGAGAATTTAATATTTGTTTAAATTTGTGTTTTAGCCAGTGATGTAATTGTGAGATTGTCGTTTTGGAACAGCAATTTCGTTCCTTTAGAACAAGTTGGTGATAAAGTTGTATAAATTTGGAGCAATAATAAGAAGGTACAGCTATGAATCAGATTTTTAAGGAAAGATAAATATTTTTTTCCAGTAATTCAAGCTAAACTAAAATTTTCATTTTTGGTCCTCTTGCGACAAATTTGTTTTTCAATGCAAGTCTTAAGTAATTTTTTGAAAAAGAAGTTTCCTTTTGAGTCTGTTAGTGCCTCGTTTTCTTAAAAAAATATCCATTTATTTAACATTCCATATTATGTATTACGTAATCGTTACTTTCAGCTGATGCCTTTTTGTTGATTGCACGTCTGATTTTACGAACTCATATCATACCAGCTCAGGCCATGTCCTTGAAAAAGCATTAAACCTTATATTTCATTTCATCGAACTCCTGCTATAATTTCAATGCTACCCTAACCCATTATAGGCCTCAGCCACCCCCCCCCCACTCCAGTTACGATAAGCTTCAATAAAAGGAAAAAACGGGAGAAAAAAAGGAGGAAAAGCAAAGAAAAAAAATAAGACAGAAGAGAAAAACGAGAAAAAATATTCATAATTTACATTAAGAGGGGGAGCTTAAAGTGCATTCTGTATATTAATAGAATTTTAGTCTTAATTCATATTCAAAATTTGCCATCAAAATCCGATGAATTATAATCGAGGAGATTAAAAATGAAGATGAGTTTGGAACCTTTAAAACCCAATTTAACTATCAATTAAAAGCGAAAGGTGTTCAAATTCAATCAAAAACCGCCTGTCACTTTTATCTAATTCTGATCAATAAACTAATAAATAATAATTAAAAAACAAATAAATAAACTAGTTTCAGAAGATTTTATTTTCACTTTTACTATAATTAACCTCGATTACCACTAATCAGGTTTTGATAACACATGTGTCTTTTCATCACATAACACATGTGTCTTTTCATTCAAAAATCAATTTCTGATTTATAGTGTGTACTTTTTATTTTATCATAATTATTAAAAACAAGTATTGAAGGCGACCATATGACAGGTAGGTAGGAAAATTATTTACGTCACACTAAAGCTGTACAATGGATTTTTAGCAACGGTCTGGGAAACATAACTAGGGATGATCCAAAGACATGCCATCACAATTTTGATCCTCTACAGAGGGGATGGCTCATCCACTTTGGTGGCCCGAAGACCTGTGCGCGAAGTTGAGCTCGTCCCGGTAGAATAGTTTAACGAGGGCCGATACCATGCACTCTCGGTCCCTACGCAGGCTGATCAAAGTGGTCACCCACCGCAGGCAGTGATGCTTGATTTCGGTGTTATACTGGGAACCGTGTCTTTACGATCAGTTGTTAATAATTTTGAGAGGCCCTATTCTCAATTTAGACATCTATCTGAAGGGGAAGGACTTTTTCTCCAGATCCCAGTACCTGGGATACTGCTTAGTGGCCCACCATAGAATTTTCTTTTCCAGTTTTTACGAGCACGTATATCGGTGGGTTTTGGCGGAGTCGTGGATCGAACCCCTGTTTCGTCGGACTTGAGTCTGATTCTCTAATTGCTGGGCTACCACGGCCCTGGTAAATATGAAATTTTATATTTGAAAGAAGAAAGTACAGAATGAAAAATATGACTATAAAATAATCTGAAATCAGTCATTTTGTTGAAAAAAATTTATTACAAAATATAATACATCTTTATACAAATATACAACTCTGTAACATTTAAATACTACGATGCTGAATTATAAGCATTCACTTGATCCCTAAGATATCACAGATAATTCGTTTAAATAACATACTTTAAAACTCATTTTCTTTCACAACATTATCAGGCCTATGCTTTGATTATTTGATAAAAAATGTAGGTGATATGTTACATAAGAGCAATATATTATAGAGGTAATTTATTGTGTTTTTGTATGTGAGAGATAATTGTGGCGCTAAATTGTTGATTTTTCTTTTTTCCAAGATTAAGTCTTTTTGTCTTAAAAGAAATCCTCGTTTCAATACAAAGCATTGAAATTTTATTACAAAAAGTATAAGTTGAATTGCTTTTTAGTTTATATATTTTTTTTTTGGAAACTCCTGCAACCTAGTATTTATTTATTTGTTTAGAAGCTTAATTGACAAGAAATTTTTTTCAATGAAATTGTAATACGCTTTCTAACACTTTCTTCTTTCTATATTAATAGCTGTCTTTGTTAATACTATAGTATGTAAAATAAAAACAGTTTATAAAATACTTCAGAATTGAAATTAATTCTATAATTCTCCTTCATCGTGAAATTAACATGATGTACTTAATTGCAAGAAAAATCTTCCATGTAAAATGTTTAAAAATTCATTCAATAATTTTTATAAGTGTAAACTTAAAAATGGTAACTATATTTCAAATTATAGATCATTAAATACCATAAAACTCTGCAAATTTCGACCTTTTTTTCCAAATCTTTTTAAACTATCTGTGTAAAGCTTTTCTGAAGTTTAAATTTTAATGCAAAAAAAAAAACAGAAGTGGGAAATTACGTAATAAGAAGGAAAAAAGCATTTTTTAAAAAAACTTTTCCACATTTTCGCAAAAATCACAATTGAACAACTTCTTAAATAGTTAGTTACATTCTTTTATCAATTCGATTAAACAATTTTTTAATAATCACAAAAATACCATAAGTAAATCTTATTCATAATTTTTTTAACAATCACAAAAATACTATAAACATATCTTACTCGTAGTTTTTTTAAAAAAAAAGATTAAAAAAAATACCACAAACAGATCTTACTCATAATTTTCTTTGTAAATAAACATACAATACATGATGAAATACTTTCACAAACACATGGTAAATGTTTTAAAATGTTTTTCATTATCTAATCAGCATTGTTTCTTATCAAACAAATTTTATTTTTTTACCTTTATAGAGTGTTTTTTTTTTTATGCAAAATAAATCTAAAACAGCATTTTTTATTAAATTTCTGACTTGAACTGAAATCTTTTTAACACAAAAAAACACTGTTCTAATCATTAGAATTTTATGCACAACCAAGTAGCAAGTTCATCTTGTACCAAGTGCAATTGTAATAATTTGATGGGCACATCTTATTTTTAACTCAACTAATAGGCCAGACAAGAATGTTTTAAAAATAGAAAAAAAAATTTCATACATTAGAAATTAAGCAACTCAATTTGGATTTTTCTTTTCTCATCCAAATAGCGTTGTTTAAGTTGGTAATAAAGATGTCTCTTCGAAAAGCAAAATTTTGATCATTTGTAAATTAAAAATAATTTATAATTCTTGAAAGGAAATTTTGCATAAAATTGTATTTAAATTCGAATTTTTTTGAAAATCAAAATGTAAATCAGTTGAAAAAAATTGGTTACTCTAAGGTAGGCTATAAACAGTATTACATTACAAGGTTATTCCCAAGTAGGTAAAAATAGGTTATTCCAAGAAATTTGAGTTCTCTGTTTTACTTTCATAACTTAAATGATTATCTTGGCCTGAATAGCCTGGTTGGCAGGGCGCTGGATTCACGTTTGTGCTAACGGGAGTTCGAATCCAACCGGCCGAAGACTACCCGCGTAGTAAATGGTAACTGGTGCACGTTAAATCTGTTGAGTCACAAAGTACTCTGTGTTTCTTTAACAAATCTGTACCTCCAAGGGTACTGAATTGGAGATTGATCGCTCTCTGGTTCGGGTCAGAATTATGATCTGTGGACGAATGCATGAATGGGTCCACCCAAGAAACGGGTGTGACGTATGTGTGTGGCGGAGGTTGAATTCTTGGCAGTAGATGGCGCCACTGGAAGACAAGAACAATCGCACTCTCTCTGCCTTAATGGCCGATGACAATAACAAATGATTGCCTTGAATCAGTTTTTCTCAAACAATTAAAAATGCATCTAAGTAGTTTAAAAAAACTTATCTTTATATCAAAAATTATATAAAGTGATTTGCTTTTTCATTTTCCGATTGATCTATTAAATGTTTTTTAAAAAAATAGCTTCGATACTCCAGTTATTTGATAAACCGGATTCCATTGTTGTTAATTTAATCAACAAAAATCTATTGTAGTTATGATACAGACGATGAGTTTAAATAAATGTAAAAATAATAATTAAAAATGGTAAAATACATTAATAAATATGAAGATAAAAGCATGTTTAAAAAACCTGAGCTAAAATGATGCTCGACAGTGAAAACAACAAGGTAGAATCACTTCAATGCATTAATTATATACGTATAATTTATTTTAGTTAATTTGAATGTTTAATGTTTTTAAAAATCACTAATTTTTTGAGATTTTCCAAATTACATGAAAAGTATTAAATCTCATGGATAATTCTCAATTTTTACATATTTTTAAGAACTCTATACACAATAATAATACAGAGTACGAACATTTTTTGAATAGAATTTTCCACCCCAAGCATTTTTCATTTTTCTCAAAACTGTGCCGTTTTCTTCATAATGACATTTTGTGTCATGTTCATAATTGGCATACTCTGCTCTGGCGTTTGTTAGGTACTTAAATAACTGCTAGGTCAGCGAAACTTTACCCAATAGTCATGAATAACTCTTACAAAATAGCATATAATTTGTTGAGAACTGTTATTTGATATGACAATGGAACCTTTAAAACCAATTCGACTTTTTCATTCAAAAACAATATCTGCAATCGTTCAACATTTGGCACTCGCCAAAACTCTAGCATCATTTCACTATTATCGAAGTAGTACTTTCAACATCTTGCAATCGCATACAACTCATCATTTTCAACTCTTCATTATGATTCTCGCAGATTTTACTTCTTCAATTTATTTTGTTTCAACATTTGGCACTCGCCAAAACTCGTGCATCTTTTCACTGTTATCGAAGTAGTACTTTCAACATCTTGCAATTGCACACAACTCATCATTTTCAGCTCTTCATTATGATTCTCGCAGATTTCACCTCTTCAATTCATTTTGTTTGCTTTTTTCTTGGGTCTGTGAATGCAGCTTGTTAAATAAAATTGCAGATAAATTTTAACTGTCCGATTTTGAAGTATATGTCAAAAAAACAATTTTTTCCAAAAGTTTGCTTAAAATAATGTTTGTTTTGGATTTGAAAAATTGAGTCATACAAATGATTAAAATTGAAATAACAAGCTTCTTCCAAAAAAGGAACACTTATGTGGATGGTAATGCATTACAAAGATAATAAATTTTTATAGTGATAAACTTTGATAAATACTCATCAAGTGTATATGAGATATAATTTACACTGTAGTCTCTCAAACTCTGTAAAACTTCTTTCGAACTTCTGTAAAAACAAAAACAAGTTTTTAAAAATATTTCATGCACAAATTGTTTATATAAAAGTCAAACATTTAAACACGTTAGAAATACAATGGAAAACAAAGACTAATAATAAAACTATTGTTGAATAAGAGTCATTCTATGAAACTTTTATTCTCAAAATAGTTATGTTTTTTTTTCCATTTATTATTTTATAATTTTTGTAGAAAAACTAATCAACCCAATTTTTTCAACTCTAGTCAAAAAATCATAGAACCATGCTTTTTTTATTTTTTTTTTTATTTAATTCTTATCAAAAAATATTCAACACAATTTTTTTTCAATTCTTGTCAAAAATATTACTCATTTTTTTTTCTCCAATTCTTGGCGAAAAATAATCTAAACGATTTTTCTCAATTCTTGTCGAATAATCTGCAATATTTTATTTTACTGTCGACGGTATTTATAACATTGGTAATAAACATTTGCATGTCGTTTAAGTAATGAAAAATTCAATAAAAATTGATTTTTATTGTATTTCATATATAGTATTTTTTTTTTTTCAATTTGTAAAATTAGCAGAAAAGCCTTTTTATACTCTCCACACAACAGCAAAATTTTTTTATATTGCTAAGAGGCTTATTTCTTATTTTTATTACTTAAAACTTATTGTTCATAAAATGCCATTTTTTTCACATAAAAACTTGAAGATCTGTGATTGTTTTAAATAATACAGTATGCTATTGCTGTTGTTTTTAATGTCACTGGGACAAACCAAGCTCGCTAGCCGTGGCGTTCTGCGAATTAAGTCAAAAAGGAGCACCTTTTGTTTGATCAGAGAGTGCCGCAAGGGTGAAAATACGTCTTAGCTCAGAACCCCACTGATAGATGGCAGCACCGCTCATGCGTGAGGCCACTTCCTCAATTTAGATACAGATCAGAAGAAGGAGAAAATTTTCTCCACAGATTTTACGAGCACATATATCGCATGTACTCGGTGGGTAGAGGATCGAACCCCGTCTCCTCGGAGGCGGAGTCTGATTCCCTAGCCACTGGGCTACCATGGCCTGTAATTATATAGAGTAAAGAACAAATAATGAAAAATTAAAAGAAAAGTATTAGAAAGTAACTGAAACTTACTTCTGATGATGAAAATAATTCGAACTCAGTGTAATTATTGTTCTGATGGAATTTTTAGAGAAGTTGCATCAAGGAATTCGTGTTTACCTAGGTGTTTTAGAGCTCTCTCGATAAATATAGGAACATGATCTAGGATCATTCTCGGTCGGAATATGACTCTATCATATTCCTCACGATCAGGTAACCTCAGTATATATCTATGAAGAAAAACGCTACATTTTATTTCATAATTTTTAGCAAAACCTATGTAATGTGTTCTGCAAGGCAATAAATATAGAGTTAGAATCTTTGTTAGAAATGAAGTTAAAAGAATATTAAACATTTGGGGCTGCAAATTGATTTTTTGAATGATAAAGGAACAAAAAAGCTAGCAAATTACTACTGAGACAGGTGGATTTAAAAAAATCAAAACCTGTTTGATTGCCTAATTAAACAGAAGTGCATATTAAAAAACACCTTCCTGTTTCATCAGGTAATCACACTTATTTTTGGTGTTTTTCATACGACCTTCCTCTCATCTGTTTTGACATGTTTTGATTGCATTCTCGCGTCCACCTCTTTTAAGTATTAATTTACAACCCCAGAAGCTTAAAATAAGTAGAACAACCTGGCTTAATTACATCAACTTAAACAACACTGTTAAAAATTTTGAAAAACTATTCAAACTTGCAACGTTGTATGGTGAAAAATTGAACCATATTCCGTTATTCTCAGAAAGAAAAGGATGTGCACTGGCCTTTTGCCTTAGGCAGTTGTATCATATGAACCAATTCTTCCTTAACTCAAAAAATACTATAATATGGCACATTTTGACATAAAAAGAATGTAAATTTATACCTTACTAAGGTTGCATCAAGTTTGTATGATATTGGGGTTCAGGGTATCAATATATGGTTCAAAGCTTGATCAATTTTTCTGAGAATGTTAAACGAAAGGAATTTTCTGACTCCAAATGGCATAAAGCATTTAGTCATTTTGTTACGTGAGTGATGCTGTTTTACTATGAACCATTTTTCATTAAAATACTTATTTTAAAGATCATAACTTGTGATTTTTAATATAAAGAGTTAGTTCTTTAATTTTCCCTTAGGCTAACATGGGTTTATAAACTTTTAAATATATATTTTTCAATATTGCAAATTTCAATATATTTTTAGTCAATATTTTAGCAATAAAAAGGCTGAACTCGAAAGAAACTAAAGGCTTTAAGATTTGAGATATTTGCCTTTATACATAAAACATGATTCATAATGTTTAAAAATAATCAGTGTCTTTCATTTTACTTTTAAATTATTAAGAGAATTTGAAATCTAAACTATTAATATTTTCACAAGTTAGAAATGTTCTTAATAACTACATAGTCATCTTTATTTCTCTGTTATAATAATAAAATCAATGAAGAAATTCAAAGTAATAAAGAAAATTTTAGACAAAAACTTTTTAATTTGAAAATATTTATTGTAATGCACACTGAATAATTTCAAAGGCAGTATGGCCAAGAATGATTATTATTCTTGGCCTGATATTGTATGGCCAAGAATAATTATTATTCTTGGCCATACAATACCATTCCTTACAACATCCATCTCTAATTTACGATTTCAAGGCTGCTAATGATGCTTAATATTTAATTTTAACATGACCTAGAATATCACACGTGCAAAACAGATGACAAATCATTTTTATTTTTCGGATCACTAGAATGGGATACTTCAACAAATTAAATTTAGGTATAATGAGCAAGTATGTATACAGGTGGTTACATTTAAGTTTAGCCATGTCATTACTTAATTTTTTTGTATGTTTACACAGATATACTCACAATACTCATACTAAAATTTGTATTTATTTACTTTAACTTTTAAGAGCTCCACCAAAAAACAAATATCTGTTTGTCCCACAGTCGACTGATCGTAAATACACAATTCCAGTTGAACACCGAAGTCAGCACCTCGTTAAACTTTTCTACCATTAAGTGCTCGACTGGTAGTCGGCTACCAAAATTGGGGAGCCTTCCCCTCTACAGAGGATCAAAATTGCGATAGCCTCAGGATCAACCTCAGGAATGTTTCCCAGACAGATCGTCGATAGCCTATTGTGCAGCTTTAGTGCAACGTAAATAAAGTACCTACCTTTCTAAAATATCAAGAAATTTGATAGTCATTTTTAAGGTTTGTTTAGTTTATTTAGCGATTTTCAACACGCGTAAAAATGATTAATGCTGGAACTTTATTATCGATTATTTACTTCAATTTAAGGTTTTAAGTTTTAAAAAAATATTAAATTAAAAAATAATTTCACTGTAGTGCTGCAGGTTTAAAAAGTAAATTTAAAGTAGACTTCGTTTTACTAATCTGAAAACAAAACGATAAGAATGAAATTAGTTTTGTTTCCTGTTACCTAGTCCTCCAAAAAAAAAAAAAACAGCTCCTACTAAATGGTATTTTGTTCCGTGCAAGGGCTACACCGATTCCGAGAGTTAAATATTTTTTTTAAATCTAGTTATGATTTTTTTAAACTCTGATATTTAAAACCTATTGGTAATCCATTATTTATTTAGTTATAAGCATTTAAAAAAAGTTGCAACTTCTATCCGCATTGATAATTTTTTTTTTTAAATCTAAAAACTGAATCAATAATAAACAAGGTTACTTTTCCGATAACTATTCTCAACGTTTATGGAAGGTTGGCCGAATATAAACGACAACAAGCTTTCTGAAACCGGAAGATGGCTACGGTCAGTGTGCGGGTGGGTGACCACTTGGATGAGCCTGCGTAGGGACCGAGGGTGTGCGGTATTGATCCTCGTTAAACTGTTCTACCGTAAAGTGCTCGACTTCGCGTGCAGGTCGTCGGGCTACCGAAGCGGGGGTGCCATCCCCTCTGCAGAGGATCAAAATTGTGATGACATGTCTTCGGATCATCCTCAGGGATGTTTCCCAGACCGTCGCCAATAGCCCATTGTGCAGCTCTAGTGCGCCGCAAATGAACAACAACAAAACCGGAAGAAATTTAGAAAACTTTCGGTGTATCCCTCCGCTTATGTTATGCTTACGAGACGATGTGAGAACAGGTTAAGCGTTATAGGAAGTTTTATTATTGCGATTTGTGGTTAAATATGCGCGTAATTTTACCATTTATAAGAGTTTAGTGTCATTTATAAATTCTAACATTTGGTGAGCCTAAAACAAATTTAACAAAATTAATATCACAGCATAAATAAAGCGTAAGGTTGGCCATGTTTTGAGACCTTATTTGGCTATATTTGTTTAAAATAGCGCAGCTTGTTATATTCTGGGTAGCATGAAAGAAAGCTTGCGGAGTCTTCCGAATTCATTTGCTGTTTGTTTTGTTGAAAGTTCAATTGAAAAAAAAAGCGTTATATTGAAAACATTACAAGTAATATTATACTATGTAGTATTATTATACTATATAGTATTAATTATTATTAGTATTTTCCAAGCTTAAAAAAGAATAATTAAATCTTAGGTATTTGCATGAATGAAAAGGAGCCATTTTCTAAAAAAAAGTCACCTATATTTTTTTTAATTACAAATATCCTTTTATTTTCTATGGTTTTAATGTTTAAAACATTAATACAGATTTTTTTTTACATTTTTATTGACTCTGTAGTAGTTTCTACGTATCCATGTCATAAAAGCTCCCCGCTATGTCCATGAAAAGGTATTGAGCTACATCTTTCCCATAACGGATCTCTAAAACATCTCTTTTCTTCGATAAATTTAAAGGAAAATCATCACACAACTAAGCCACAATATTAGCTTCATACTCAGTGGGCTACCTTTATACGTCGAAATGAAATTTGGTGAGAAAGCGATTTATTTCCAGCCACGAGGTAAAAGATAATGTTTAATGCAAGGACGAGGCGAGGAGCTGCTATGACATAGGCTTACAAAAACTGTCCTACGGTCAACAAAAGTGCTTTCCCCCCAGTTGTTGTTATCTATTGTAAAGTTACAATAGTTCATTGTATGAAAGAGGGAATCTTTGCTTTGGGATAGTTCTCGTAATGTATAACAATTTTATGCCAAAAATATATAATACAAAAGCAAGAGCTAATTTAAAAGCCTACCTGTCTTTTTGGGGATAAATGTGTAAAAGTTTTCCAGCAATGAAGCTAGTTTCTGAGCATACATCCTGCGTGATTGGCTGGGACGCGCTGATACTTCTTGCCAAGACGGGTTGAAATGATTGCTGAATATGAAAAGTATTATAACACTAAAATGGAATTATCATCATCAGGAATCAATGCTCACAAAATAGCAATTATTTTTATTATTAACATGAGAGAGGTTTTCTTATGAACATACACATCAAAACACTTACAGTAATAGCATTATGAAATATGCGCCATACACCATACAATCTTTGAAAGTTTTTCATTAACATAGGAGAGAGATACTTGAAAAGTACTCTACGTAACTTCATGACTATTCTACGTAATTGTCCTTAAACAATTCTAAAATGAGCTACACTGAGGAACATTTTTGTTCTGCGTTTCTTAGATTGTAGATCACTGAAAGATTTGAGATCGCTGTTTTCAAATCTGCTATTGGTTCCTCTTTCCAAGCTACAGTTCTTTTTTCAAACTGAAATTTTTAGTCTATTTTTGTCAAGTTTAAAAACGTGCTATAAAACAATTTGGCACATTAATGCTTTGACAAACTTCCAGGGGAGTTAGGACGCATCATCAGAATTAAATTTTTTTAGGAACCTAGGAACTCATGCCTGGAAATAGCATAATACACCACACTAGGGGAGCTTCCCTGTCATGAAATGCCCTGTCATGAATTTCCTCATGTGCTTCTGAACAGGTTACGACCCCTATCAGCGTACACCGACATTTTCGGGCGTGGGTTCCTATGCAATTTTAATACTGATTATGTGCCCTAACTCAGTCAGAAGTTTGTCTCAACATTTACGCGACTTTATGTTGTATGTAACTTTTTTAAGCTTGTACATTTCGACATCAGACTAAAATGTCATTTAAAAACAATCTGTAGCTTTTGGAGCAAAACTAATTTCAGATTTGAAATCCCCTTTCTCAAATTATTTAAGATAAAGTATTTGCATAGATATAGCAAAAAAATTGTTCTCTAGTGTTATTTAAGAAGAGAGCATTTTATCTGGTATTTTTTTAAATAAGCATTTAATCTGTTCTAATATTAAAACAAGCCTTAATAATTTAAAAAAAAGTGTTTTTCCATCAGTTTTGTTTTTCTGTTACTTTTTTTGTCATTCCTGTAAGCACACTATTGATCTTTTTTTATTGAATTTTTTTTTCATTTTATGTTATGTTAATTATATTCTTTTGAATTATGAGTTTAAAAACCTACCCTAGCTTTGATATTGAGTCAATATTCTCAGTACTTTTCCTTACTTAATTCATAAAATTAATTAAAATTAAAATTTTAATAAATTTATATTTATAAATGAGGGCGAAATTATTATGAAAAAATTGTGAAATCGATGCACTAGCCTTCAAAGTTTGAGAACCAGCGTTTTAGAAATACTTTGGAAGGCTGCATTTCCCCTCCCACTATATTTACCAGATGTTTGTAGTTTTTAAATTCGCTTAAAATTGATGATAAATAATCGGTTTTTAACACAATGTAAAAAGCAATAAGTTTTTGATAAAATGTCTTACTTTAAATGCTCCGATGTTTTAAAATAAAAATATATTCAGGACTTTAAAAGGAAGTTACAGTAACTCTGAATAATTAGGTAGATCATATGTAAGAATAAGCACAATACTCGAAGTTGAAGAGTGAGAAGATCAATAATATGACAGATTTGTGATGATACCTACCGTTTGTTGCCGTTTGCAGTCATTTAATAAGTTTTTCTTCACAATTGGATTAGCATCATAAGTCTAGAGCACTTGCAAATGGTAGATGTTGGCAGAACAAGTTTATATCACGGTCCTTCAAATCATTTAAAATCTTCAATGCAGTGTTTTGGAATAGTTTAAAAAAGTAGGTGAAAGGTTACAACAGTTTTCATTTCCTCCGCAAAATAGCGAAACGGCTGTGCCTCAAGTGATAGAGAGTTTGCCTGTCAATGAGGTGACCTAGGTTTGAATCTCAATGGTGGCTGGTTGATTCTGCTGTCGGCTCGCACCGACCAGAGTGTTTACGCAAAACATACTTAGCGGTAGATAGGCTAAATTCCCCTTGCCGTCGGGCTAACCGTGGGAGGTTTCAGGGTATTCTTCTCCAAGTAACATAACTGCTGGTGAGTTACATCATAAAAGTCCTCCCCAAAAGCAACTTTTTTCCAGTGCTTGAACCAGGAGTTTTCTTGTCTTCTGGGTTGGGTTCAAAACTACAGGCTACTTAGCTGAATATTGATAGTCGTAAACTCAGAACTGGGTCAGCTGTTTAACTCAGTTGTAAAAAAAAATAAACAAAATTGCAGAACGGGGATTTCAAACTAAATCGCGAAAATGAGCGTTTTTATATTTTAGATAGCCAATAACAACATTTGAGTAACTTCATGTAAAACATTTCACCCTTACATATGTCACAAACAGTTAAACATTTTCTGCTTTTAGAGCCAGAACCAAATAATAATAACAATAATAAGGACCCAGTAATACAAAGATGCTTTATTTTAACGAGATTTGGTTATAAATGAAATGAAAGAAATTATAATAAGTGTACTTACAGTAGTTTCATTGCTAGTTAATGGAGCAGAGCTCCCGTTTGAGCTGCTAACACTGGAGTTTCGTTCAATATTTTCTAAATCTTTATTGATATGGTGTTGACTTATGAATACTTTGTACTAAAGGAATAAAAAGTTTAAAATTAGTACTCTCAGATTGGTTTTATGGATGCTAACATGCAACTGATCTCTTATAAATGTAAATTCTTTTTAATTATAACGATTAATTACAACACCCTTGATGATAATAAGAACACATTTTAAATTAAATTTGCTAATCGCACATATGTTTCTAGGCACAAATGCAATTCAAAAACTATAATTCTTTCATGTAATACCATGTAATATCAATCCCAGTTAAATGATGTGAACGACACCTGAGTTGGTACCCCTCTCTCCAAACATGCACACTACAACAAAAGAGAAGACTTTCAGCCCCGATATATTTAGCGTGAAACACAAGGATTACTTTAGTAGTTTGAAGAAATAAAAATAAACTGCGAGGTGGATGAAATTAGAAAGATGTCACAACATTAGAACTACTTAAATGCGCACTGAGGGGAAAATAAGAAAGATGTTCAAAATTTGGACTACCTAGGATAGGATTTCATTATGATAAACCACGTAAAGGCCTATAGTTTGTATAGAAATCTGCTTCTATAGTTTGTCTATAGAAAGAACTCCCCTCACCACAAAGTCTGTTATTATAGACTCGCCGTCTGTTGCTATTTCAGAGAGGAGAGCTTCTCTCTCCCCCCTTTAATCTCTTTCTTTCGCCGACCCGTGCCAAAACCTGTCTTAAATATTGGCCCAACATCCCTATATGAACCCTGTAACCATAATCACCGCCACTACTCAAGACGAATGGTGAGGGAAGTTCTTTCCATAGACAGACTATAGGAAATGTTGATAAAACTGTCTTCCAGGATTTAACTCACAACCCCACAAGCGGAATAACTGTCGCATTAGCCAATTGCGGTGCAGGACCACCATAAATGGAAAGCAAACCTTCTTTTTTCACCTTTCCCCATTCGTCAGTGTTCGTTTTTATACCGCACTTAAATATTAATTTGAAATTTACACCGTTTTAATATATTTATTTGCATAATTTTCGACTAAGGCACTAAAATACTGGTCGTTATAAACATCCCCTTTAAAAAATACTATGAAGTTTTATGGAGAGAGAAAAAAAAAGAACTTACTTTGGGTAGCGTGCATTCATTAAAGTTTTGTTCCATCTCTATGATGAGTTTCTTGATGGTTTCGTACTTTATACAAGGGACGATGTCGTTTCCGTAATAAACGGCAAAAATGCTCTTCTCCGCGTAAGGAAGGGCTGTCTTGTTTATTGTCGGTGGCGGTGCAAAGGCGTAGCATTTTACGTTAGGATACTGATGTTTATACAACAGAGTCAGAATTGAAGCCACAGCACCTCCTAATCAAACAGTTAATTAATTATTAAATAGCTCCTAATTAAAACATCCATAGCACTTGCTTTTAATACTGCACGTTAAAAACACGTGAATAAAAAGATAGGAATTCAAAAGAAATCTCAGGGTTGTCACTCAAATCTGGAAAGCAAATTCCCTGTGTTTTCCCTGTACATATTATAGACAATATATTAAGAGGAGACAACAATTACTTTGCTCTTGCGTGAGCTATATTGGGCTAACTATATCTAATCGCTGGAAAAACAGCTGAACATACTTCAATAATGCTATATTAAATGAAATAGTTTAGTATAGCTCAAATATCATGGCTAAATATCTCTTAGATTACGCTTTAAGAGGTCACCATTCTTTAAAAGACAAAAATAAGAAACAAAATTCTCTGTATTTTCCCAGTTTGTAAAGCAAAAAATCAAAATTCCCTGCATTTACCCTGTTATTTTAGGTGATTTTTTTAAATTCCTTGTATTTTCCAGGTTTTCCCTGTGGAGTGGCAACCCTGAATCTGTAAAAGTAGAGGTAAACTGATATTGGAGTAGTGAGCTCTAAAAACGAATTTATCTTTGAAATTATTGAATTTGACGATTTCATAGCTCAGTAAACGTTAATGTAATTAATATCTTTCATATTACGCATATCTTAATATGGATGTTACGATGGAAAGTGACGTAGTGTGGATATCTCGGTCCTGATTGGTTGTTGAAGTGTGGTATTTGTTACGTTAGAAGCTGTTCTTCCCATTCTATTTCGAGTAAACCAATCCCGCCAAGTATGAATTCTCTTGACACATTCTATATCCTTACACAAAGATTCTTTCTCTAAGATTTCCATTCTTTCACTATATACTTCTTATTTAACACAAAGACACGCACGAAGCCTTGTAGAACATAAACAAACTAATTATGCATAGAAGTTGCCAGGTGCACAAAACAAATAATAAACCTAAGTTAAGAAAAAGACGTAGACGAAAAAGAATAATATTTCAACAAATTCGATGTGTGATACGGCGATGTATTGAACTAACCTCACATTAATTGACGTTGTGGATTATGTGGTAGTTGCTATTTTGTTTTTAAATACAATATCAGTTTAATACAATGTTTAAAACTCTTAGAAGATTAATTCATGAATATAAAATCCTGATTAAAAACGAATACTGAGTACTGAAAATGCATTTAAATATATTAAGGCATTCAAAAAAGAATATATTAGATCATTATCTAATTATAAATTACATTTGATATATTAGTGCACACTGATGCAATAATGAATACAATATCAGTTTAATACAATGTTTAAAACTCTTAGAAGCTTGATTCATGAATATAAAATCCTGAAAAACCAATACTGACTACAGAAAATGCATTAAAATATATTAAGGCATCCAAAAAGAATATATTTGATCATCGCCTAATTATAAATTACTTTTGCTATATTAGTGCACACTGATGCGATAATGAAGCGGTTTAAAAGATACATACCTAAGCTGTGACCAGTAATAATCAACTGATAATCAGGTCTATCACTAAAAGCCTCTTCTAAGATATGTCTCTCATCCATCTTTTTCTTGATAATTCGAGCAGCAGTCATAAATCCGCCATGACAAAAAGTACCAGCAGGAATGCCGGGCTCGTCCATGCTATCGAAAGTCGCCGCACAATCAGTCAGAAAATCATTCATGGACATGGTTCCTCTGACTGTAACGAGGATGACTGACGTATCATGGTCGTAGGTGACGAAAAATGGCAATTCGAATACTCTGTCTTTGTAGCTGACTAATAACAGATCCTCGTATAACAGTTTTGTGGTGAGTTGTAGTCCGGCGACATCACAGCCGCAACAGTTGTCGCCTTCGACAATGTGCGCCCTCTTTCGGAAAGGGAAGCAACATCTATAAAAGATAAATTATGATAATTTCACAAAGTGCAAAATGATAATAATAAATCTATTCGTATAAGTGAATCAGGTGACAGTGAAACAGGTGATTTAGCAACAGCTCTTGTTTTGGTTAAGATGGAATGAAGCGAATAATGCTACCGCCATCTCGTGAAGTATTTTTAAATACAATGGAGCTAGGAATAGAAAAGCAACGTGTTTATACTGCAAAGTCATTTCACAAAACGACAAGAGTTACTCCATTATTCAGCATAAATGTTGAAATGCTGTTCCATCAGCCCATGGTATGGAGACCAAAGTACAAAACTGTGAGATGATTTGTTCTACAGGACTTCTTGTGGACTATTTGAAATCACAAATGTTGAGTATTTCAGAAACTGCATGAAAATCAATTTAGGAACTCTATAAAGATATTACCGGCAAAAAGTAACGGATCAAAAACAGCAGTATAAACGCCATAACTCGGTATAAAAGTCGAAGAAATTAATGATAATAACGCTATTCTATCAACTGATGCCATCAAGACTTAGGTAAAAATCCCTTGGGGTCATTTGTTAAACAGGACTACTTGTGGGCTGTTTGAAATTACATGTGTTGAGTATTTCTGAAACTACGTCAAAATCAATTTAGGAGTCGAAATTTCGAATTTGGGAAGAAATTCAACGAGCTACAAAAGCATATGAGCGATGGTAGCAGAGGGATGGTGGACACCTAAAAGGTGGTATTTTTCAAAAATATATAAAAACTACTGATTTTTAGTTTTTTCAGTTTGAAAACTAAATTTGTTATGGTTACTGTATATGGTAGTGTATTCAAAATAAAGCTAATCATTCACTCCTTATAACACTTTTAAAATGCATAATTGCCACCTTACAATACCATCATCATCTTCAACTATTTCCACCTCATTGCTTGATGAAAGTTTTTTTCCAAATATTTCTAGCTGTGGTCTAGTCTAGTGGACTGATTGAAAAACTCGGTTCCCAGTAAATCACCAAAATCAAACTTCAATGACGTCTGTCATATCATATCATTCATATCATTCGCGTTACATGGGGAGGAAAACCACAGAAGCTTTCTACGGTTAGCCTGACGGCAAGGGGATTCTAACCAATGGTTCATCTACCACTGAGGATGTTTTATGTCAGCAGTGGGATCAGTGTGAACCGGGCGCAAAAGTTTTATCAACCTGCCTATGTTAAGATTTGAACCGTGTAGTATAGTATATAGTATAGCATATAGTATAGTATAAAAGAGCTACATACGATTAAATTCGAAATTCCAAATAGGGAAATATTATGAATCGCCCAAAATAAACACAAGTATATATAAGTTTAATACTGATTTTTTCTTAGAGAGAATAATTTTTCAAAAAAGAAAAAAGAAGATTGCAATGAATAAATAACGCAAGGAAATTAATGCCAAAATACCTAATAAAAAAGCTTTCAATAAAAAACCATAATAAAAAAAAACTTACGTCTCTGAAAAGGCAATAAAAATTTTCCGTGATAGATAGCGTCATAGAGATGATGATAATTTTTTTATTGAATTTTAATCTGTGTGACATCATTTTGTCGACACTAATCACAAAAATTCCTCCTCAAAATAGATATTTTTAAAAAAAAATATGATTAATTACCCTTCAACAGACTAAAAATAGTGAGATACAAATGAAACTCTTGATGTCAATTAAATTTTTTTTTTCTGAAATGAAAATAAATATTATAATAATGCAATGAAATTTTTAAAAAAATTGCGGTCTAAAATGGAAAATTTTTTTATATAAAAAAAGGAAAAAAATTGCATTGTGTCAGAAGAAAATGATAATAACAAACAAAAAACATTTTCACAACTTTACCATCGGTTTACAAACATATTCATTTCGAATATCTTTTGCTTAATATCTCAGAAATCACATTAAATTATTTAAAATAGTTTAAGCCTTGAAATTTGAAGTTTTAACCTACTTTAGATGACTACAGAGTATGCAGCAACCACAAGTAAAATTCTTAAATATAAACCAGTACCAGCCAAATACACCCAGTCCTAAATTAAAATAGTGAAATGCATCTTTGAGATTCATCCAGGGCTCAAAATCATCAGGTGGGAACTTCTCGAACACACGTCCATCTAAGAATTGAAAATATGTGTATCAAATAAAATTATTACTACATTCATTTTATTTTGTTTGATTACATATTATAAAGATATTACTGCGTTGATCTTTAAACTAACTACTGCATAAAACTCACACTTTGTAGAGTAATTCTAAACCTAATATACTTTAAAAATAATAAATGCAGTAAGATATTCTTTGAAATTCTTCAACCGAGACTTGTAAAAAAAATAGAAAAAAAATATGTATATGTAACATAAAAAACTTCGATTAATCTTTTTATGTTAGTTTCTTCGTTATAAAACAACTCCTAATTTATTACTACTTAATTCTTCGAATCGAAGCACTTTATGATACTTTTAAAAAACCACATCCTGTTTCTAAATCTATTTTTAGCCAACTATACATAAATTTAAATAAAGATATTTTTCCTTTTAAGCTTTGTGGGAATCGCGTGATCTATTTAATTAACCAATAGTAATTTCTGAGATTTCCCTCTTTTCCCTAAATAGAGACATNCAAATAGAATTACAACGCTCCCACTCAACTAAGAATGATCAAATAAAAGTTACTCTGATTTAATTAAAATCCTGTTTTCCTGCTCGGTCCGACTGCATCATTTTACATATATATAGTTTGGTAACCTTCAGCACAGGGGTTAAAGAATCAGCCAACGGTCAAAAAGAGCCGGAGTTCGATCCTGGATTCCACAATGACCCATGTGATATGGATGGTGTTTCAGGAAGCACTGCAAGCTCTTGACTGCCTATATATTTCCGAGTTAATGCTTTGGATGTGTTTTGAAGCCATTTGGTTCACAGCACGATTAATGTGTTTCGAGACTCTCTTGTTCTTGTATATGTATAACCTAATTAATTATTTGTGTATAAAAGAAGAATCGTCCTTTGAAGACCTGTCATTTCAAGGACGTAAGACTTGCCACTTGAAAAAAAAAGAATCGTTATAAAACACTTTTTACCTAGTTGACAATATACTAACTTCGAAATTTAAACCTAAATGATAATTTCTGAAATGAACTTAACCTCGCTGGTCGAATAATACGCTAACATATGAAGGTGCACGGCTTGCATCAAGAACAAAGAGTAATAGACAAGCAGAAAGAGGCCAAATCAAAACTGCCAATTAAAGAAAGTTCTTTCTAGGTCTAGCAACCTTGTCACCTTTTTTTATAATAATATATCTCTAAATAACTAAGACAAATTTTCACTTCAAATTCACCAGAATTACTTAATATCTTATGAAATACGCCAGATTTGAGATTAGAAGCTATATAATTTATTTCTATTACTAAAAACTAAATTATCTGCTTGAAAATATCGCCTAGCATTAATAGCTGTAGTAAGCAGCTGTATACTTACCAACCGGAAGTAGAGCATATCAAGAGCTCGAGATTGTTGTTTTTTACATTTATATTGAACACACTACCATACGTGCTTGCAAAAACTGTGGAATCGAAAGTCCTGTGATAGGTCGCTCAACAATACCATAGATACAGGGATCTGGAGAAAATTTCCTTTCCCTTTAGATTTATGCCCAAATTGGGAAAGTGGCCTCATGAATGAACGATGCTGCCATCTATCCATGGGGTTCTGAGCCAAGACGTACTTTTACTCTAACGGTGCTCTCTTGTCAAACGAAGGGCGCACTTTCCTGACTTAATTCACAAAAGTCCAATGGTTGGCGAGCTTGTCTTGTCAAAATGTCATTAGAAAGGCAACAACAAAGAAGAATTTAAATTTTAAACGATCTATATAATCCTTCTAAAAAAAGAATTATCTGGATTTTTTTCATAATAGCCAGTAATAGCCTATTTGGCACTATTTCCCCAACTAGATTACGTTCATTAAAGAATTTCTTCAGAATTCCTGATTCAAAGTTTTTTTTTTAATATATCAGTGTTTTATATACAATTCGAAAAAAAAATAGCTGAAAATTGTTATTTGTAAAGTTCTTTATAAATAAAATAGCATAATTAGGAAATTAATTGTAAGGTTCCTTTTAACTAATAACTGAATATATTAATTAAATCTTAACTTTTCAACTTTGCAATTTTCAAAATCAATTTTACCTGAGGCTGAAATTGGAGGAAGTTCTGCTATAGTTTTTTTTTCTGTTTTCCACAGACGTACGCTCTTTCTTCGCGCAATCAATAAAGATGCAAGCATATCAGATACTGTATAATCAAGGTCCTAAAACAAGTATAGATTTAAAATTAACAAATAATAAATTGTTTGATACCTTCAAATGAAATATTTCCTTGGCATCCGTAAACCTTGTTTGTTTAGCAAATTTTTCGGTTTCAGAAATAAAAAGTGAGGGAAAAGATTTGTCCAAAGAGTATAGCGTATACTTCCTTTTTATCACCTCTGAAACCAAAAACTTAGATAAAAGAACAAAGTTTAGAGATGGTGAAGCTATTATATTTTATTTTATTTTAAAACCGTCGTTGAACAGCCGACCCAATTTTATGGATTTACGACTACTAATGTACAACTCCGTAGCCTTGTAATTTTGAATCAAATCCAGAAGACAAGGGAACTCCTGGATTAAGTATTGGGAGAGATTTTTCCTTCGTGGAGGACTTCTTGATGGAGCTAATCCGCATTTGCGTTACATGGAGAGGGAGACTACGAGAACCTCTCACGGTTAGCCTGATGGCAAGGGGACTCTAACCCATGATCCGTCTACCACTGAGGATACTTCATGCCAGCACTGTTATCGGTTCAAGCCGGATGCGGACAGGGATTCGAACCCGGTTCGCCTCATTGGAAGGTGAACGCTCTGTCCCCAGAGACATCGTGGCTCGTGAAGCCATTACAAGAGCATAGCGTCAGAATTAAAGTGTACTTCAAACTTTAAAAAAAAATTCTGTAACTTTTCTACCGAAGTGCAAAAATGCATTACGCCAACAAAATTTATATAGTATGACAGGAGTAAAAATTGAGAATATTTAGTCACTGATCCGAACTAGTGACATGAAAGATATTACGATAGTCAGAACACTGCTTCCAACAGATTTTTTATTTATAAAAGTTAATGAAGTTAATTTAGTTAGTATATATTCACAATTAGGATGAAATATGCTATTTTGTGGCAAAACAAACCAAAACTCGTAACTACTAATCAATGAAACCAAATCAGCATAACATCCTTTTGCATCGATTGCTGGTCCGGAGGACTAATTAATAACATTGGGAAATAATTTTTTTTTCTGTAACGTGAGATTTTTTTAACAAATCTTAGATACTATCATATGACTGATTTCAATCCGCAATCAGTTTCTCGCTCCAAGCTATAGTTTTTTTAATGACAGTTTTAGTCTATTTTTTGCTAGATACACAGTGAGCCAAAAAAAAAGGACCACCTAGAATAACTTTTCATCTAATGATCGGATCTTGCCGTTTTAGGACTCATTCTTAATGGTTTAAGGGGGAGGCTTCAAATATACTAATTAATTAGTGCAGACGATATTTTAAGTTACGATATCAGACACAAAAACGTACTTTCTCTGGATAAACATACTCTTTTTTTCAACAGATTCGGATTTCTAACTCCAAAATAAAAGGGGGGAGCTACAGCCTGGGAAATATGATCCCCATAGTTTGGTCAGGAGAGCGATTCAAAGTTTAAACTGGTGTTAATTCTTTCTTCTTGCATATCTCGCTGCAGCTCGAGAACTTCTAAAGCGAATTGAAAATTTTTTGCACACAATTAAAAAATTTGTTCATCCAAAGATAATTCCATACGAAAAATATATTTTCGTAAATATTTATAATTTGTAATTATTTTATTTAATATCAGTCGAGAAAATTTAGAATTATGAGATATTTACGTCATTTTAAAGTCTAAAATTAAAAGTCATCAAGTATGAATATGGCAAAGTTTAATTTAAATTCGCGTGCAGGTCGTCGGGCTACCGAAGCGGGGGGTGCCATCCCCTCTGCAGAGGATCAAAATTGTGATGGCATGTCTTCGGATCATCCTCAGGGATGTTTCCCAGACCGTCGCCAACAGCCCATTGTGTAGCTCAAGTGCGACGTAAATTAAGAACAGCAAGATTTAAAGTTTGAGCGAAATCAGTTGAGCAGTTCCTACGAAATCGAATTTTAAATATACTTCATTAAAATTTGATTTCTTTAAACTTCCAAAAAGTGCTCGAGGTAAAGCAAACTACGTAAAAGGTAAAATTAACATTAAGGGGTCTAAATTTTGGATCGCTCTCTTGATCAAGCTATGGGGAACATATTTCCCAGATTGCGTCACCCCAGGATGACAAGAAATCTCCTAAATGACGCAAGAAACTTCTAGGGAAGTTAGAGCACATCATCAAGATTAAAATTGCATAGGAAACCATGCCCGGGAATGTGCCGCTAGGGAGGCTTCCCTATTATTAATAGTTTCTTCAAGTATATTTGAACAGGTCATGATAAGGAAGCGCACCTAGCCGTGTACGACTGCATTTCTCGGCATGGTTTTCCATGAAATTTTAATCCAATGATGTGCCCTGACTCCCCTAGAAGCTTGTCGCTGTATTTACGCAACCCCTGCTACATATAGAGTTTTCAAACTTGTAAGTTTCGACAAAAAATAAAATAAAAATATATTTAAAAAAACGTAGATTTGGAAATAAATTTAATTTTAGATTTGAAATCCCCACTCCCTAAGTAGACATGATCAAATATTTGTATAAATGCTACAAAAACTTCGTTCTGCAATGTCTTTGATTTTGTATTTGTTAGAGACAAATTTTAAAGGTTTGCGAACCACCGTGAATTTTGAGCCTCGATTCTGTATCATGTTTTCAGTAGTTTTATTTTATGAATCCTAGAAACTAACAGGTGAAGCTTTTGGATATGCTTATGCATGAGAGGTATCAAATTTGAAATCTACCATACATTGTATCGAACATTTAAAGATGGAATGTAGCATTTTATGAAAGCATCCATAAATACAACATGCGCATTAACTTACATACGACAAGAGAGATAAAAGCTGTGATGCTGTTCTGTAAGCTTGCTTCCTCTCCTCTGTAGCCGTTGTACACATCATGAAAAGTGCCTGAAGCCTAGAAAGAAAACACACGTTCCTCTCAATAATTAATTACATAAAAACTTTGATAGAAAAAAAATTACAAAAGTTTTGCATTATTTGTTAAATAGTTTTACGTCATAGCTTCATCAATTATTGGATTTTAATGACCGTCCACAAATGATATATATATATATATATATAAAGCCAGAAACTACGGAGCACCCTCTATCAACTTATTTTCATATGCATGCAGCCTCCTGTATTGATCCTGCATTCCAGCAACACATTGTTACAGATAGTTAAAAGTTCTAAATTCCTGATTTATTTAGTTATGGTGCTGTACATAGCTTTATTTTAGTTAAAATTGTACGCTACTCTGATTTCAATAAATGTTTTTTCGAACCAAAACTGTTTGTTTTTTTATTTAAGTCGATTGATTTTGTTTAGTATAAATGCCTAATAAATGATGTTTTAAATATTAGTAAGTCAAAATGCAAAGTAATGTTCAGCAATTATTTCATGTGTTTGGGTAGAAATTTAATAGAACACGTTTTACGCGAATGCTCTAAAATAAAAAGCAGCGCACATCGCAATAGGTAAGTTATCGCACCAAATATTAGGCAAGTTATCATATATAATAAAAACAGAAAATATAACTTTTGCGTGCAAGCAACTGGCTATAGAGAATAAAAGCAATGTGCTACCTACATACAGCATTTTCTTAATTGATTTGTGGATTACTTTTTAAACTCTTCGGGTTGTTTTTGTTTTTTTTTCTTTTCCATTGGTCATTGTTTTTTTTTTTTTTTCATTCATTGGTTGTTTCATTTTTAATGAATCAATGTTTCTTCTGTAACTCTGCATCTATTTTTCATGCATATAATTTGACCTGTCTACAGGTCTGATACCAATAATATACCTTAATTTATCCGGTTCAAAATTTTAAATATAGGATGTTCCTTAAACAACGCCCATAATATATATATTTAAAATCCTTGTTCAATCAGAAATCAAAATTTTATTTTCAAGAAAGGTACCCATACTAATATTAAAGCAAGGAAAAAATTTTAAAAATTAATTAAAATCTGACGAATCACTATTTCTGAAGGCGGAATTAAAAATATTAAATCCAGTTTGATTGCCTGGTGAAACTTGAAGGAGTTTCTGACAATCACATTTCTCTTCCTGTCAACTTTTATAAATTAAAACTGGTTTCGATATTTTTCAGACGTAGCTTTTGTCTTCTTCAATATTAATACAAACTTAATCTAGGCTTTATTTTCGATTAAAATTCTAAAAGTTTGCATGAGATTCTATTAATGCAGAACACCCTGTATAAATCTTACTATAGTACAGCAATTAGCCCTAAAATAGTATCAGTTATTCAATCTTCAAGTTCAAACTCCAAAAAAAAAAAATTAAACTTGAACAGTAAGAATGCTGTATTTATAAATCGATAGTTTTTCAAATGTAATTTTTGTACTAAAACAAATGCCCCAATATTTAATAAATTACTGGTGTTTATTGAGTGCAAAAATAAATTAGTGCAAAAAGTATTTTTTCTAAATTTATTGGATAATCTAATTTGTTTAAAATGCGAACACTGAAAAAAACGGAAGTTACTTTACAACTCCATTTAAAAAAGTAAAAAAAAAGGCAAAACGTTACCTTAAATTCCATTTTTTTGCTGCCCCTTTCCTTGTGGGAGTTGTAAAATGTTGCAAAGTGTCATGTTCTCGTTCTTTTTCACTTTTATTCAAACTTGTGTCATAGAACATAATCATCATAGTTAATCTTACAATAGTCACCAACCATTGAAATATTGTGCATGCCTGTAAAAAAAATATTTCGTTACATAATAGCATGCTTAAAAATTATAAACAATTTAATTTTAAGGCCAACTCAATGCAATGAGTGCTTTTCGAACTTAAGTCATCTTCAATTGTCTGCATACGCTGAGCGAGATCATATTAATCTTTTTGGTAACTGATAAGTTTCAAAGCTCGAGTTTAAGCACTTCTCTATAGATTTAACCTGATTTAACTAACGATCCCTAAGATAAATAGTTTTTTGTTTATAATTTCATAACGTTTTGAACATGGATTCTAACTTAAGTCGTCTGCATACGCTGAGCGAGATCATATTAATCGTTTTGGTAACTGATAAGTTTCAAAGCTCGAATTTAAGCACTTCTCTATAGATTTAAGTACCAAACGATCCCTAAGATAAATAGTTTTTTGTTTATAATTTCTTAACGTTTTGAACATGGATTCCAACTTAAGTCGTCTTCTAACGGCTGCATACGCTGAGCGGGATCATATTAATCTTTTTGGTAACTGATAAGTTTCAAAGCTCGAGTTTAAGCACTTCTCTGATTTAGCTACCAAACGATCCCTAAGATAAATAGTTTTTTGTTTATAATTTCATAACGTTTTGAACATGGATTCTAACTTAAGTCGTCTTCAATCGTCTGCATACGCTGAGCGAGATCATATTAATCTTTTGGTAACTGATAAGTTTCAAAGCTCGAGTTTAAGCACTTCTCTGTAGATTTAACTACCAAACGATCCCTAAGATAAATAGTTTTTTGTTTATAATTTCATAACGTTTTGAACATGGATTCTAACTTAAGTCGTCTTCAATCGTCTGCATACGCTGATTAATCTTTTGGTAACTGATAAGTTTCAAAGCTCGAGTTTAAGCACTTCCCTGTAGATTTAACTACCAAACGATCCCTAAGATAAATAGTTTTTTGTTTATAATTTCATAACGTTTTGAACATGATTCTAACTTAAGTCGTCTTCAATTGTCTGCATACGCTGAGCGAGATCATATTAATCTTTTTGGTAACTGATAAGTTTCAAAGCTCGAGTTTAAGCACTTCTCTATAGATTTAACTACCAAACGATCCCTAAGATAAATAGTTTTTTGTTTATAATTTCTTAACGTTTTGAACATGGATTCTAATTTAAGTCGTCTTCTATCGTCTGCATAGGCTGAGCGAGATCATATTAATCTTTTTGGTAACTGATAAGTTTCAAAGTTCGAGTTTAGGCACTTAACGATCCCTAAGATAAATAGTTTTTTGTTTATACTTTCATAAATTACAAAATTACACGCAGAAATATTTTTCTCTGAATTAACAACCCTTTTTCAACGAGTTTAGATTCTGGACCCTTAAAATGCAGGAGTAGCAGTGATTTGGAAGAAGAAATGAGCCATAAAACATTACGTAATGAACTATGGGAGAAAAATGAAACATGACGTTGTAAAGTACAGCTACAATAGCTATATAGAAACTTATTATTCCACAGTGACTGCATATGCACTTTCTAATTTTAATTAATTATGCTGATTAGTCATCATTGAAGGAAAAATGAAACTCTACACAATAAATTAAAAATAAATTTAAAATGACAATAAAAAAATCAAACTGCAAGGGAACTTCTACTAGGAAGAAGAAACGAGATTTGAGAGAAACTTTCTTGATAACCGCGACTCCATTACCTTTCTCTACCCTAATTTTGGACAACGCTCGTCATAATTTTGGAGTAATTCTGGCTTGCCAATAACGGAAGCTGCTTGTCATAATTCTCTAACTATGCTAGATACAGGGATTCTACCTTAACCAATAATCTATACAACTATTTATTTAAAATTAGTAATTAGTTCTTCTAATTAAATTGCATGTTCAGCGAATAAAAAAAAATTATCACCGGATGACAACATAATAGCAAATTTAGCTATAAAATTGAGCTTGACTAAAAGTATGCAGCAAGGATATACTTGGCATGTTCTTTTTGCACGTGTCGTTTAATCATTCGGTTAAATATCTTAAAAAAGAAACAGAATCAATTCAGAACATGTTCTGGCGCACATTATCCAACTTCCTAGCCCCACAAACAGCTAATTGACTGCATCCATCAACAATGGTGACATTAATTATTCCCAGCGATTTATAGACCAAGGAGTAGGCAATTGCATTGCCTTTGGGCTAACACCTGGAGGATTTTTCTATTTTCATACCTAAGTAAATAAGGGTTGAATTTCCTTTAATTATTCCACTTCCTTCTGATCAATTTCTGCTTCTAGCTCGCATCAAGTACAGAACTGATACAAAATATCCCCAATGGTAGACGGATCATGAACTGGAATACTCTTGCTAACGGGCTAACCGTGGGAGAATTTCATAGCTTTCCTCTCCGTTTAACAAAATTGCGGGTTTGTTCCAATTCACGATGTTACAATTTACAAAGGGTAGTTTGTCCCAATACTGAATCCAAGTATTCCTTTCTCTTTTGGGTGGGTTCAAAATTACAAGACAATATTGATAGCCCTAAAATGGATAGGCTGTTCAACGTCAGTAATTTAATCAAATACAATTATTCTACTACGATCAATTTACAACGAAAATTGACTAGAGTGTTGAATTCTCTCACGTAGTTCTCTCGCACCCATCAATTGAATACGCTATTCCTTAACCCTTTGGCGCAGATAGGACACCGGTGACTTTTCTGGCGTAAAATGTATTTTGGTATTTTTTAAATATTAAGAAAAGTCTAATAGTTAAAAAAGAAGAATCTGATAGATTAGTGGAATTATATTTGCACTAAAATATAAAATCCATATATATATATATATATGGATTCCTTATATATCCTTATATATATATATATATATATATATTTATATCAGGGTTGGCAAAGTTTAGGACAGAATGGATTAATCCACGGTTTGAACCCTGGTTTAAACCGTCCTGTCCAAAACCCCTTTGTCCAAAACTGTCTTAAACTGTCCAAAACCCTTTTATCAAATTATGTCACAATTTTATCTGAACAATATCTAAGAGGTAAAATAAACATAGAACTAATAACATATTGATAATTAAATATACTAGAGAATATTTGTTTTTAAAAGTATAATGTTTTATTAAT